AGGTAACCCAGACCCAGAAAGACAAACACAGTATGTACTCACTCATAAGTGAATATTACAAATAAAACAATGGATAACCAGACTATAAACCACAGCTCCAGAAAATCTCAGTGACAAGAACCCTAAGAGGGACACATGGATTGCCTTGGGTAAACTCAGAGCAAGGGGGCTGCTAAAGGTGATGGGATGGGTGATGAGAACATGAGAGAATGGGATGGTTAAGGTGGGATGGAGCAGGATAGCAGGAAAAGGATACCTCAATAGAGAGCCACTATGGGGTTAGGAAGGAATCTGGTGCTAGGAAAATTCCTAAGAATCCACAAGGATTACCCTCATAATTCTGCTAGCAATAGTGGAGCAGGTACCTTGAACTGCCCCCCCCCACACTAATCCTATTGGTGAATACCTCATGTATCACCATAGAGATTTCATCCAGTAATTGATGGAAACAGATGCAGAGTCAAGCACAAGGCTGAACTCCAGGAATCCAGTGAAAGAGAGGGAGGAGGGAATGTATGAGCAAGGAGGTCAAGATCATGAGGAAGAAATAAACAGAGACAGCATAACCAAGCTTGGGGAAAACTCAGGAACTCTGGATTGACATCTGTGGCACTTCCACTGGAAATAGGTGAAATAAGATCCGAGCATGTGGAAGACAGTTTTGAAACTTGGACTATCTGAGGGGACCTTGGTAGTAGGATCAGGATCTATGCCTGGTGCGTGAGCTGGTTTGTTGGAGCCCATTCCATATAAGGAGATGCAATGCTCAGCCTTAACTCATAGGAAGGCTGGGTCCTGCACCAACTTAATGTGGCAGGCATTGTCAACTTTCTGTGGGAGCCCTTACCTTTTGGAAAGAGTGGATGGGGCATAGGCTGAGGGGGAGGCAAGGGTGGTAGGAGGAGGGGTGGGAGAGAGAACTTTGTCTGGAATGTAAAATGAAATTGAAAAAATAATTAAGAATATGTACTTCAGAAAATTGGAAAATTAAAAAGAAATGGATAATGCTCTTTTAAAGGGGGATTTAGAAAGCAGTGATTGTCCAGAATGAGCATGTGCAGTCCCGTACATTAGTGCCCTCTCCTTTTTGCCAGACAAGAATTCTTTGTGTAGCCCTGGATGTCCTGTAACTGGCTCTATAGACCAGGCTGGATTATATCTAAGAGATCTACCTGTCTCTGACTATGGAATTCTAGGATTCAAAGCATTCACCGCCATGCCCAGCTGTGTCCTGTTCTTTCAATCTTAAGAGAAATGTCCTAGAACTTTCCTCTGAAATTTCCAGAGCGCCAGGCTCCTCCTGAGAATGCCCTTCCTCTGGATTCACACTACTTCCAACTTTAGTCCAGGGCTTCCCAGGGCATTTCTGGAACACTGTCTAGACCCATCACACAGGAATAGGAATGAGGAGTCACGAAGAGCACAGTGATGATTATGAGCATGGAACCATCTAGGAAAGGGCAAAGATGACCCAGGAAGAACAGAGAGGAAGTGTGCACACCTGACACAATGGTAGAGTGTTGTCTTGAAAACCTCCATATGAAAATGTAGGCCACAGTCCTTTCAAGGATGCACAGGTAACCCCTTTCCCAACACTGAACACAAGAAACTCCTCACACAACTGCTCCTGAGCCTTTCTCCTGGGTCATTAAATTGAATGGTGGTATTGGATTGATCTTCATCCCAAGTCATCATTCATCTAGTCTTGTTCCAGGCCTCAGAGATATTTATGTCACATTCCTATAGGGGTTAAGTAAATACCAACTTTTGAGAGCATTGAGAACACGGGATAGACTTGGTTCTCAGGTGGGTCTCTGTGTCATGAGGACACATAGGCATGAAGGAGATTCTCTATGGTCCTGACAGGTCCTAGGTTAGGACACAGCGGGTGTCATCTCTGGGATGAATCATTGTTCCCTGAGGGAATGGAGATGTTTATCAGCCTTGTTGCTCACGTGTATTGCTTGGAGGAGAAACATAAAGGGAAGTTGAGAGGGATTCAGGTCAGCACTGAGGGTGGAAGGCATTGAGCAGGGCCTTGGACTCAAGCCCCACCACTCACAGCCCATTGGATTCTGGGAAGTCCTCTAGTCTGAGAAGAGTCTCAGCCTAGAAGGACGAAGACTGGCATAGCCTGAGTTCTGTGTTGGAGCTAAGGTTCTTCTCCTCAGAAGGAGGAAAGAACAGTGAGAAGATTGATGGAGGAGTCCTCTGTGCGCCTCTGCAAGGGGCGTACCCCTGGGCAGGGGCTTCT